TAGCATTGATCAAGCTGTGAAAGGGTATCAGAGATTGAAGATCAACTGAATGAAATAAAGCATGAAGAAAAAATGAGAGAAAAAAATAAAAAGGAATGAATAAAGCCTCCAAGAAATATGGAACTAAGTGAAAAGACCAAACTTACAGTCGATTAGTGTATCTGAAAGTGATGGGGAGAATAGAACCAAGTTGGAAAACACACATCAGGATATTATCCAGGAGTATTTCCCCAACCTAGCAAGACAGGCCAACATTCAAATTTAGGAAATGCAGAGAACATCACAAAGATACTTCTCAAGAAGAACAATCCCAAGGCCCATAATTGTCAGATTCTCCAAGTTTAAAATGAAAGAAAAAAAAAAATGTTAAAGGCAGTGTAGTGATTCCTCAAGGATCTAGAAATAGAAATTCCATTTGACCCAGGAATCCCATTACTGGGTGTATACACAAAGGATTATAAATCATTATATTATAAAGACACATGCACACGTATGCTTGTTGTGGTGCTGTTTACAATAGCAAAGATCTGGAAACAACCCAAATGCCAATCAATGATAAACTAGACAAGGAAAATGTGGCATATATACACCATGCAATACCATGCAGCCATAAAAAATGACAAGTTCACATCCTTTGTATAGACATGGATGAATCTAGAAACCATCGTTCTCAGCAAACTGATGCAAGAGCAGAAAACCAAACACCCCATTTTTCCACTCATAGCCAGGTGATGACCAATGAGAACACTTGGGCACAGGGAAGGGAATAACGCTCATTGGGGTAGATGCGGGGGCGGGGAGGGAAGGGAGGAAAGGGGAGGGACAGTGGCGGATGGGGAGGTTGGGGAGGGATAACACTGGGAAAAATGCCTGATGTAGGTGACAGGGGCATGGAGACAGCAAACCACCATGGCATGTGTGTACCTATGCAACAATCCTGCAGGATACAGAATGTTCACATGTACCCTAGGGTCTAAAGTACAATTTTAAAAAATGATGTTTGCCACAGATGTTTTATAGATACTCTTCATTAAATTAAGAAAGCTCACTTCAAAAAAAATGTTAAAGGCAGCCAGAGAGAAAGGTCAGGTTGCCAACAAAGGAAAGCCCATCAGACTAAAAACAGATCTTTCTGCAGACACCCCACAAGCCAGAAAAGAGTAGGGGCTGACATTCAACTTTCTTTAAAAAGAAATTTTTAACACAGGATTGCATATCCAGCCAAACTAAGCTTCATAAGTGAAGGAGAAATAAAATCTTTTACAGACAAGCAAACGCTAAGGGATTTTTGTCACCACCAGGCCTGCCTTACAAGAGCTCCTGAAGGAAGCCCTAAATATGGAAAGGGAAAACTGGTAGCAACCACTGCAAAAACACACCAAAATATAAAGACAAACAACACTGTGAAAAAACTGCATCAACTAATGTGCAAAATAACCAGCTAGCATCATGATAATAGTATCAAATTCACATGTAACAATATTAACCTTAAATGTAAATAGGCTAAATGCCCCAATTAAAGGACACAAACTGGCAAATTGGATAAAGAGTCAAGACCCATCAGGATGCTGTATTCAGGAGACTGATCTCATGTGCAAAGACACACATAGACTCAAAATAAAGGGATGGAGGAAGATTTATCAAGCAAATGGAAAGAAAAAAAAAGCAGAGGTTGCAATCTTAGTCTCTGATAAAACAGACTTTAAACCAACAAAGATCGAAAAAGACAAAGAAGGGCATTACATAATGCTAAAAGGATCAATGCAATAAGAAGAGCTAACTATCTTAAACATATATGCACCCAATACAGGAGCACTCAGATTCATAAAGCAGGTTCTTAGAGACCTACAAATTGACTTGGACTCCCACACAATAATAATGGGAGGCTTTAACACCTCACTGTCAATATTAGACAGATCAATGAGACAGAATATCATCAAGGATGTTCAGGATTTGAACTTAGCTCTGGACCAAGTTCACCTAATAGACATCTACAGAACTCTCCACCCCAAACCAATAGAATATACACTCTTCTCATGCTTATTCTAAAATTGACCACATAATTGGAAGTAAAACACTCCTCAGCAAATGCAAAAGAATGGAAATCAAAACAGTCTCTCAGACCACAGTACAATCAAATTAGAACTCAGAATTAAGAAACTCACTCAAAACCACACAACTACATGGAAACTAAACAACATGCTCCTGAATGACTACTGAATAAATAATGAAGTTAAGACAGAAATAAATAAGTTCTTTGAAATCAATGAGAACAAAGGCACAATGTACCAGAATCTCTGGGACACAGCTAAAGTAGTGTTAACAGGAAAATTCATAGTACTAAATGCCCACATAAAAAAGTGAAAAAAATCTACAATCAACATGCTAACAACACAGTTAAAAGAACTAGAGAAGCAAGAGCAAACAAATTCAAAAACTAGCAGAGACAAGAAATAACTAAGATCAGAGAACTGAAGGAGATAGAGACATGAAAAACTCTTCAAAAAATCAACAAATCCAGGGTTGGTTTTTGAAAAGATTAACAAAATAGATAAATTGCTAGGCAGACTATTAAAGAAGAAAAGAGAGAAGAATCAAATTGGCACAATAAAAAATGATAAATGATATCACCACTGATACCACAGAAATACAAACTACCATCAGAGAATACTATAAACACCTCTATGCAAATAAACTAGAAAATAGAAGAAATGGATAAAGTCCTGGACACATACACTCGCCTAAGACTAAACCAGGAAGAAGTTGAATCCATGAATAGAACAATAACAAGTTCTGAAATTGAGGCAGTAATTAGTAGCCAACCAACCAAAAAAAGCCCAGAACCATAGGAAATCACAGCTGAATTCTATCAGAGGTACAAAGAGGAGCTGGTATCATTCCTTCTGAAACTATTCCAAACAATAGAAAAAAGGAGGCTCCTCCCTAAGTCATTTTATGAGGACAGCATCATCCTGATACCAAAATCTGACAGAGATACCACAAAAAAAGAAAATTTCAGGCCAATATCCCTGATGGATGTCAATGCAAAAATCCTCAACAAAATCAGGCAAACTGAATCAGGCAGCATATAAATAGCTTATCCACCATGATCAAGTTTGGCTTCATTTTCTTATAAAAAAATTAAAAAATAAGAAGTTTGCATCAGGTGGCTGTGACGACCTCATCAAGCTGTGGAAGTGTGCTAACCTACCCTGTGTTAGCCTGACAGACTCCTCTTGCTGAAAGCCAGACAGACTCTGTCTTAACCTCTGCCTCACCCCTCCCACCATTTCTCCCTTAAGTGCATACTTTGGTCATGCTACTGTGCTGGGTCATGTGGTACTCAGAACTATAGAAACATATAACCTTTGTAACGGTATCCTGCTTGACAAGCCCGCTTGCTATTAAAAAAAAAAAAAAAAAAAAAAAAAAAAAAAAAAAAAGTTGGCTTCATCCCGAGATGCAAGCCTGGTTTAACATATACAAATCAATAAACATAGTCTATCACATAAACAGAACCAATGACAAAAACTACATGATTATCTCAATAGAATCAGAAAAGGCTTTGATAAAATTCAACACCTCTCCGTGCTAAAAACACTCAAAAACCTGGGTATTGATGGAACACATCTCAAAATAATAAGAGCTACTAATGACAAATCCATAGCAAATATCATACTGAATGGGCAAAAGCTGGAAGAATTCCTTTTGAAAACTGGCACAAGACAAGGATGACTCTCTCCCCACTCCTATCAACATAGTATTGGAAGTTCTGGCCTGGGAAATCAGGCAATAGAAAGAAATAAAGGGTATTCAAATACGAAGAGAGAAAGTCTAAAGCCTTACTATTTAAAATTATATTTTAGCATAAATTCCCCAAAATCAATGAATTATGGTTCTGGCTAAAGATAATATCTTACCTCTTTCAATATTTTCAAAATCTTGCAATTATATCTGAAACTAAATGATTTATTTAATTATGTTACAAATCCACTATCATAATTACACGTTATTATGTGTTATTATGCTAGATGCTGGGTTAATAAAAATGTAATTCAGACATGATTCTTCTGTCTCAGTTATCTCAGCATTTAATGGAAGTGAGAGTCACATACACAATAGACTATAACAATATACAAACTGCAATTATTTGTCTCAGTAAACCTATAGAGTTTTATTCAACCAAAAAAGACTACTTTAGTATTGTCCCCAAAGTACTCTTGGAAAAATCAAAGTATTTTATTCTATTATCTCCCATAAATACAAAAGCAAAATGACCTTTAGTCTCGAGACATAAGATAGCTACTATTTGACGAACTATAAGATGTCAGATATAACTATTGTACTAAAATAATTGAGTGAAGTAATTGTAGAGAAATCCTCTGGGCAGGAAAAAAACAAGAGGGAAACAGTAAATGCCTAGAGAAAATGGAGGCAAGAAGATAAAGTCCTATGGGGAACAAAATAAAAATAAAGAGGAAATAAACTTCATATATACTACCCAGGTTTGCTTAAATGCAGCTTTTGTTTTCAAGAAAAATAATTTGAATAATCAGTCAACTGAATCTAGTTTCTATTTCAGTTGTTTTAAAATTACTGATAAAAACTTTCTGACTTGGTGTGGTGGCTCACGCATGTAATCCCAGAACTTTGGGAGGCTGACGTGGTAGATCACTTGAGGTCAGGAGTTTGAGACCAACCTGGCCAACATGGCAAAACCCAAGCTCTACTAAAAATACAAAACTTAGCCAGGTGTGGTGGCAAGTGCCTATAGTCCCAGGTACTCAGGAGGCTGAGGCAAGAGGATCACTTGAACCAGAGAAGGAGGTTACAGTGAGCAGAGATCGTGCCACTGTACTGCAGCCTAAGTAACAGAGTGAGTGACACTCTGTTTTTTTCTATTTCTAAATATTAACTCTTGTAAAATGCTTGTTACTATGTATATATAGACAGGGACACTTAAAAATATTACTCTCAAAATGAAAAAACAATATACTTACAATTATCTGACATTTTGGAAGAGAAATATTCCAAAAGACTTAAAATACTTGTTTCCTTTAATTCTGGCTGTACTGCTTTGTCCAGGTGTAAAATATATTTTCGGGAACTTTTACAGTGACAGAAACCGATTAAAGCAGTTTTTCGCAAATCAGAAGTGGCTGCATACAAACAGATTTCTGCAAGAATTACTGTATATATATAAACTACATTCCAGGCCCAGGAAAAATCTTCTACCTTGCAACTTTCTTCCTGAAATAAGAAAACAGATATTTGATCACCAAAGTATGTCTTTGCATATTAATAGTGTACTTATATACTTATAATAAGTATCTTCAAACTTTATGGGGTTGTTAAAAGACCATAATAAGGCCGGGCGCGGTGGCTCATGCCTGTAATCCCAGCACTTTGGGAGGCCGAGGCGGGTGGATCACGAGGTCGAGAGATCAAGACCATCCTGGTCAACATGGTGAAACCCCGTCTCTACCAAAAATACAAAAAATTAGCTGGGCATGGTGGCACCTGCCTGTAATCCCAGCTACTCAGGAGGGCGAGGCAGGAGAATTGCCTGAACCCAGGAGGCGGAGGTTGCGGTGAGCCACGATCACCCGCCATTGCACTCCAGCCTTGGGTAACAAGAGCGAAACTCTGCCTCAAAAAAAAAAAAAAAAAAAAAAAAAAAAAAAAAGACCATAATAAACATAATAAAATAATATTTCTAAATGTGTTCATTCAAAACAGGTTTGCCATGAGTAGATTGCATAACATACAGTTCAAAGAATAAAAAAATAAATAGCTAATAATTATATAAAAAACAACTTTGCAATTTACTTAGCAGTTAATGGAATGTAAATTAATCCAAGAGATACTATTTCCCATATTACATTCAAAAGGAATCTTTTTGATATACAGCTCAATTCTAGGTGTGACAATTTCATTTATTGTTCATAGGAATGCAAGAAAGTTATTAATATATCTTGTGGAAAGTAATTTGGACATCTGTCCTAAAAACTTGGAAAGAAACTGCATAGTCTTTCACTTTGTAATTTAACGTTATTAGCCTACTCTAAAGAAACAGAAGTGTACATAGAGATTTTATGTATGATAATAACAATTCAACATTACTTCTAATTAACTGTGAACAATTATAAACAAATTTAATAATCAACAATACAGAAATGTTTCCATAAGTTATCTTACCTCAACCAAAATACAAATTTTAATATTATGTAATGAAAATAAAAAACGTTTATGATAAATGTTTAAGGTAAATTTGCTTTTATATTTAATTAAAATTATTATTACAGAGTTATATATATTATATGCCCTAATATGATATACAATTTAAATAGTGGCAAAAATAACATCTCTTTCTCTTCAGTTCTCTTTTCTTATATAAATTAGCAATGTTACCTGATTTTGAACAGACATAATGCTTGAAACAAAATCTTTCACTAGGTCCATTAAAGCTTTCAAGCAGGCCATGTTTAATTTGGCAGCCTCCCCAAGGACCAATAAAGCCAGTACTGAATCCAACCTGAAAATTTTATGTACAAAAGGATAAAGACTGTAATGAAAAATAATAATCATCAACTTTTTAATGTAAAAAAAGGTAATAGGCCAGAGGAAATACATGTCTGGATTACCAGATATATTTATTTTCAATAAAGATTAGCATTGGTTCTCACTTATTATGGTAAAAATCTGCAAAGAAGAGATATATTTAGGTAAGATGTTTGAGTTCAGAGTAGTGCTCTGATGAATCTGAGTAATAAATACTACAAATAATCACATTTCTTCATAGATCCTGAACAATAAGCAATCAGGGGCTCTGGTACTAGAGTGTCCCCCAACACTCACAATAGGTTTTAATTTTTAAACTCTTGCAACTGATTCCATGAGATGACTTTCAACAGAGGATTTTCTTCTCCAACGAGGGCAATTTTTGAAAGATGGGCTTTCTCTAAGATACTCCAAAGATTCAACACTCTTTGATTTTGGAAAAAGTACAACTTCTCAAAATAAAATTTACATTTCATATGAACAAAAGACTAAGCATTATTTTTTTAAATATTATAAAAACTGGGAAATCATACAATAATCTGTTAGTTATAAATATACGTATATTTTGAAGGTTTTGAAAATTACAAATCTGTGATTATTTTACTTAAATAAAAATAGTTTGAAAGAGAACTGAAACGAATGCAAATTAAAAAATGTTTTGTGTCTATAGCTGTTTATCGCCTTGATGTGTATGCAATTAATACATTTTAAAGTTAGTATCTTTTACAAGAATATTTGAATTTCACAACTGTGATATTTCAGGCCCATAAGTTCAAGGTCATCATCATTTTCTAAATCAAACTTTTCTGATTATGAAAATTAAAGACAATTCTTTACATTATATAGGGCTTTACAGATGTTGATGTGCTTTCACATAAATTATTTCATTTGATTTGAAAACAATTTTTGACACCTTTAAGATCTTTCAAGACCTTTTTTCATATTAGAAAACTGAGACATAAATAGGTCTGAGGGACTTGATCCGAGTTCCCTTTTTAAGCTAAGTTAGTTGTAACTCAAGTGTTCTCTCATCAAGAAGTATTTCCTGTCTTGCAGTTCAGCTTCTAAACCATTACAGAAATGTCCATATGTAACCTTAGTGTGGCAGGCACTGCCTATTGCCTACCTAATACTATTTGTCTCCTTTTCTAATAGAACCTGAATTTTGTTCAAGATGACAAGATACTCAATTAAGTTTGCCCCCTCAAGATGGAATTCTCTGTATCTTGACTGGAGTAAGTGATTACATGAATGTATGCATTTGCCCAAGGCCATAGACCTGTGTATATTAATGTATGAAGTTCATGGTATCTAATTTATATTTCAGTAAATAAGATTAAAATTGACTGCCTAGATTTCCTTGAAGTTTAGAATAGCCCTACAGTGTAGATTTGGTTAATGAGCTATAAATGGAAGCATATTATGAAGGCTTCCAGGTAAGCTATTATTTTTCTGGCGAAGAAAAAAAATTTTTAATTAAATAACAGGTGTTATTTTACTCCTTTGCTCATCCTCTTCCTCCTGCTTGTAATGCATATATTGCATGATACCAGAGACACAGCAGCCTTTTTATAACAAGGAGGATAAAAATCACCTGCTATACATGACAGAAAAGATAACTAGAAGAAGCTTGGGTCTTGAAGATTTCCTTAAGTACCCACATCAGCATTGCACTACTTGTCATGTGCAATAAAGAAAGTCCTGTTTGGTTATGCAATTATAGTCAAGTTTCTGCAAAATGAAGAAGACAAAATCCTAATTGATGCATTTAACATAATGCTCATGAACATGAACTTTTTGAGTCAGAAACATCAAGATAAAATCTTAGCTCTGCCACTAATTAGGTATATATTATAGGGCAACTTATGTACCCTATCCCAATCTTCATTTACTTGTCTGTAAAGAAAACATTAGCAAAACTCACTTTTTAGAGACTTTTGTGAGATTTGAATGAAATGCTCTATGTAAGATGACTAGGTTCAGAATGCTAAAGTGTATTCAATTATATACTATTTCTTTGAAGTAAAAAAGATATGAGTTTGATAACTTTTTCATTAAAGTCATAGAGTGACTGGAAGAAGAATTCTGTCCCAGTGACCACCAAGATAGAGGATAAGTCATTCCCCAGACTATTTATCATTTATACTTCACATTACAGTCAATTAAAAGAGAATATACTCATTGAGTTCATAAAACTTCTTTTCCATTGAATATACTTCATAATCAGAAGGTTTTCATTCTTCTTTTCTCTTTTAAATCTGGAAAATTGTAGCTAAACTAGGGTAGTCTCATTGAACTATGGATTGAGAAAGATCCATCAGTGTCAGCCACCTATGGTAGACAAATGCGTCACCAGAAACACACTATTTTTAATTAATTCTGCTGATCACAAAATTGTCTGTGATTGAAAATGCTTTCATCAAAAACAGAAACATTTATACTTATGAACTGTAGTTTGTTAAAAACAAAAGTAAAATTGAAAATCAATGCTATAGAAAGAAGAACTCAAATTGGATTAGGCTAGAAATTTTCATACAGCACTAGCTTCTTTGTGAACTCATTATAATACAGAAAGCCTCAAGTATCCGCATATTGACTTGGTTTCACATTGCCGTGAAATTAAAGTTGTACGAAATAATATGTAAGTATAATATATTTGCTCTAATTTTGTAAATAAAGAAACTGAGCTGACTGTTTACTTGTCCAAAATAAATTGTATACATACACGCACACATTTATAGAGGTTAGGAACATCAGCATTTAAAAGTTTTCCTAGGTTCTTCTTACTCCTCTATATCCATTTTCTCAATTACTAGATTTTATTTATTTTTTGTGTGTGTGGAATTAAAATGTCTCTAAGTAGTAACCCTTGCACAACTTATTTCAACATTGCTATAAATATTTCAGAAAGCACTGATAATATCAAAAATTCACATGATCCTGAAAACAGAAGGAAAGAGACAATCACTAATAACAGCAGCTTACAGAGAATTTCCATAAACCATAAAGTTGATGAAGCTGAAAGCAATAAGGAGCACCCACATGCCACTTCTTGAAACACAGCAGCCTTGTTTTCTCCAAAAGAGAGTAAAACAAAAAATATTTTAAAGAAAAATATTATCTCTACTGTTTTGCATAGAACCTCAGAGAAAGTGCAGCTAATCCTTTATCCTGAGGCCCTGATTTTTTTAAGTAGCAAGAGAGTATTATTTCTGGGCTCATCCTCATCTCCCCATATTTATTCAGAGATGATAACATCCAGTATCAATATACAGTACCTCTAGGTATGTGGGATGAGAGAAGATGGGAGCAGGGATGATAAAATTGGAATACAGAAGTGCATTTTCTCCTCACAGGTAGACTATCAAAGAGTAAGGAGAACACAGGAAACTCCCTGATAACATCACACATTGAGTGTTGTAATTTTTACCAACTTTGTTATGAATGCTGTGAACACAAACTTTTTATTTAAAAATATCCTTTTTATATATTTCTCCTGGTTCTAGAATACGTAACTGGAAAGTGAAGAAGAGGGATCTACACAAGACCAGTGAAAATAGCCTTTTAGCAAAGGCTAAAGAAAATATCAGTCTCAAAATCAGAGAAGGTCATAATTCTGAAAATGATTTCTCACAGGAACCAGAAGTTATTTTTACAAGACCTTTATGCATCTTTAATAAAGCTCAGGATAAGAAACCACAATGAAAAGCCTTGATGCTGAGATGAAAGGTAGTAGAGTAAGATAAAAGATTTCAAAGAAATTAAAATGTAAAAATATAATTAAAATCCATAGTTGAGGAAGTTAACTGCAGAATAACACTTGGAAGAGGAAACTTGAGAAAGCCTTTCATAATTTAGAGGAAAATGTGGAAAGTATATCTATTACTAATTATTATTGAAACAGACAAAAATCAAGGAAAATGTGGTAGTCCTACAGAAGAAAGGAAGGAAGGAAAGAAGGAAGGAAGGAAAGAAGGAAAGAAGGAAGGGAAGAAGGGAGGAAGGGAGGAAGGGAGGAAGGGAGGGAAGGGGGAAGCAGACTAGAAAGGGGAGAATTAGAGTAAATAAATTAGTCTCAGGTCATTGCTGCACATGGAGAAGAGGGCAGTTAGTATTTCACTCTTGATTTTTACTACTTAGAGAAATCAGTTCAAAGAATATGTTTAAAATAAAATATTTGTGAACCGAATCCAACAGCACATCAAAAAGCTTATCCATCACAATCAAGTTGGCTTCATCCCAGGGATGCAAGGCTGGTTCAACATCCACAAATCTATAAACCTAATCCATCACTTAAACAGAACCAAAGACAAAAACCACACGATTATCTCAATAGATGCAGAGAAGGCCTTTGACAAAATTCAACAGCTCTTTATGCTAAAAACTCTCAATAAGCTAGGCATCAGTGGATGGTATCTCAAAATAATAAGAGCTATTTATGACAAACTCACAGCCAATATCATTCCAAATGGGCAAAAGCTGGAAGCATTCCCTTTGAAAACTAGTGTCAGACAAGGATAACTTTTCTCACAACTCCTATTCAACATAGTATTGTAAGTTCTGGCTCGGGCCATCAGGCAAGAGAAAGAAATAAAGGTATTCAATTAGGAAAGAAGGAAGTCAAATTGTCCCTGTTTGCAGATGACATGACTGTGTATTTCGAAAACCCCATTGTCTCAGCCCCAAATCTCCTTAAGCTGATAAGCAGCTTTGCAGTCTCAGGATACAAAATCAATGTGCAAAAATCATAAGCATTCCTATACACCAATAGCAGATAAACAGAGAGCCAAATCATGAATGAACTCCCATTCACAATTGCTACAAAGAGAATAAAATACCTAGGAATACAACTATCAAGGGATATGAAGGACCTCTTCAACAAAAACTACAAAGCATTGCTCAAGGAAATAAGAGAGGACACAAACAAGTGGAAAAACTTTCCATGCTAATGGTTAGGAAAAATCAATATTGTGA